GCCTCATTGGGTCAGCAGCTTTCCAGTCCGGGGGAACCACACCTCCCCCCCGGCTTTCGTGGTCAGCGTGAGGCCCCCCTTCATCCCCGAACACGTGTGTCCTNTCGCTTGATGTCCACGATGTCCACACCTAAAGCACCGGCCCGGAAACTTATATTATAANCACCAACGGTACCACACTCGCCTGGGGGGACTGCCACGGCACAAAACGCCAAGTCTTCCACGGAGTCCACGTCGCTCTCATGCTCCTCCACTTGCGCTAGGACGGCCTCCTCCGTCGCGCACTTTTCTTTGGTGTGGCCCCACCCCTCGCAGCGCGCACACCACAGCACGAAGTCCTTCTCGTTGGTAGTGCAGCCGATCGCTTGATGTCCACGATGTCCACACCTAAAGCACCGGCCCGGGAACTTATAGTCCCCTCCACCGCCGCCATCGGCGCCTCCACTGCTGCTTCCCTTGCTCTCCTCGACTCCTCCGGATCCGCCTGAGCGGCCGCCGCGACCGCCGCCGCCGCGGCCACGACTGTTGCTGCGGCCACGGCCGCCGCCACGACCACGACCTTGCCCCTGACTCCTACTTGAGTACCGCTCCCTGCGGCCCTCACCGTCGGCGAAGTACGCTTGCTCTGCGCCCTTCGCCCCTTTTCCTTTCCCCTGCTCCAGCTTGTCCTTGATCGCCTTGTATTCGATCATTACTTCCTTTAGCACACCGGTCCGCGTCAACTCCTTCGCGTGTCGCAGGTTGTGCTTTGTCATGGCGTACTCGTCCGAAAGGGCATCCAGGAAGACGTGAAGGACGATTGTGTCGTTGACAGCTGGTCCTTTCTCGGTTAAGGACTTTGCGCTTTGGAGCATCTCAATGAAGGCGTTTTGGGGGTTTTCACCTCTAGAGATCTTGGTCGACGTCAGGGTCTTCTGACGGCTGTACAGATGATTCAGGGCCGTGTATGGTCTTGAGCTCACGAAGAGCTCCCTGGGGCGTCTCTGCCCTCTTCATGATTTTCCGATATTTTTCTTTGAGCTCGTGAGACAGGAAGTTCCACGCGTGGAATGCGAGCTCTACTTGCTTGCTCCGGTACTGCTGTGACAGCGAAAACTTGCTCTTTCCGCTGTTGACGGGGATCTCCAAGCTCCCGCT